AAACATGGATTTTCTAAATGTGGTGGTATTATGAATATTGAAGATTTTCGTATACTTTACTCTGAGTCGAAAAAAACTTTTATCCCTTTATTTAAAGGTCGCTCTCCAATTGTTGTAAATAATGGTAAGATGAATAATTAGTAATTAATGTTGAAATTGCCTTATAATTCTTATAATTGAATAATACTTATATATACATTTCCACTATGTCATTTACTATTAACAAGCAACGGGACGTCTCTATGTTCAAGTGTACGGAACATCAGTTGCGTTGGAATTTGATGGTATTCCTTGCTTTGGTGCAAAGAACGCAAGCCCTTGCACATCAGACCACATAATTGATTCAGGCAACACGTATAATCAAAAGATAGCACAAACTATTGGGGGAGCTTTAATTAAATGTAGGTAATTCTCCATTTTCTTGAATGACTGGTAAAATAATTTCTTTATTTTAATAAATATTTAATATCACAGACGGATATTTTTCTTTAATTGAATCACTCGGTGGTTACGCAATTCTGACAATTCAAACTGGACCTAATGATCCTTATCTTGCGTGCGTAATGACTAAGATTGCAGACGATGATAATATTGCAGACTCATTTGCCACACCAAGTGCAACGACTGCTTATACCGCTACTTCAGTAGCCTTGGGTGTAGTATGTTTGGCTCTTGCTGCTGGTGGAGTAGTCACTGTTGCTACAGCAGGAAAAGGTGGATCAGCAGATGTTCATCCTGGGCATCATTATTATTCTGAACATTGGTCTCATCATAATCCCGAACATTCGTATCACCATCATCCTGATCATTTATCTCATAATCATCTTGAACATTCATCTCATCATCCTAATACAAACCAACTTGATCATCATCATGACACTGAACAACTTGATTCTCACCCTAAAGACATTCGTCATTTTGATAACGCGCCACCCGGTGGGAAGGAAATTCATCAGGGAGGAGACATGTCAATTCAAATAAATGGTCACTCAGCAGGGAACGTGGATACTGCAATAGATCCTCATCAGGGAGGCGGAGGAAATGGTGTATCGGGTGTTCACGATGCAGCAAAGGGAGATATAGGAGGAAAAGAGACTGATGTAGTTGATTACCAAGTAGCAGGAGGATCACCACCGCACGTACAATCACC